ACTTCCCATCCCTGGTCCCTTTCCTGTACTGATCTCTCTTTGATTTTCATAGGATCTGCCTCCACCTTTCTTTTCCTTTAAAACATATGACCTTTGACTTTCTGAGTTTGACTTATTTTGCTCAATGTGGTGGTCTCTAATTCCATTCATTTCCTTCCAAATGACTTAATTTTATTTTTCTTTATGCCATGCCTTGTCTTTTCAAGAACATCCATATGGATTTACATAGTGGTGCTAATTTATAATCCCACAACAGTATAAATGTGTTTCTTTTCCCCACATCCTCTCCAGCATTTATTGTTGTTTCTATTCTTGATGACTGCCATTCTGTCTGGGCTTTCTGATGAATGGCTTATATGGCTCTTTGTGCTGTGCTGTGTTTTCACTCAAGGCTTTCTCTGCCCACACTGCAGGCCTGAGAAAGGCACATTTTACAGCTTAGAAAACTGAGGCTGGAGGTTAGAGCAAGGCATGAGGTCCCACTCACCTGACATCAGCATTCCCTGGTTACTGCCCACCCCGTGCGCCACTTTCTAAGGGTCTGGCAGGCTCCAAGCACTAGATTCCATAACTAGCCTCATTTCTTCTTTCTCAGTCAATGACATCAACATCTCCCTGTGGCGCTTGCCAGAAAAAGTGAAGTCTGACAAGAGCATCTTCATGAACCAGGGCGAGTGGGAGTTGCTGGGGGTGTTGCCTCAGTTCCGGAAGTTCACTATGGAAAGCAGTGACTGTTACGCAGAAATGAAGTTCTACGTGAGTGGGAGCAGATGTGGGTAAAATGGTGACAGAAACTACTAGTCCTTCATACCAGGGGGGCTTATGGAGGCATATTGGAAAAAACTTCCCTAGCCTTTTTCCCAGCTCCAAGGTCCGACATCCCCTGGAACTTCCATGAAGTAGACAGGGAAACTCAACTAATCGTCCCTTACACACCTGAACAGTTGCAAGCCTAGATTGACAGGCAGGATGTGGGCACTGTCCATTTCCTCCAGTGAGCCATCCAGGCTGGAAGTTCCAGGAAGCCAGGGGGTGTGGGCTAGAGGTGGTAGCTCCTGCGTGCAGAGCCCATCTGCCTCAGGCTTCTCCCAAGCTTCTCTTCTGGTCCCAGGTGGTCATCCGCCGGCGGCCCCTCTTCTATGCAGTCAGCCTGCTGCTTCCCAGTATCTTCCTAATGGTCATGGACATCGTGGGCTTCTACCTGCCCCCAGACAGTGGCGAGAGGGTCTCCTTCAAGATCACACTCCTCCTGGGCTACTCGGTTTTCCTGATCATTGTGTCTGACACGCTGCCTGCCACTGCCATCGGCACTCCCCTCATTGGTAAGGTCCCTCCTGGGAGAGGAGCTCAGTCTGGTGAACCTGGCCCCCTCCTACCTCCTCTGTATGTCTCTTCCCTCTGCCCTGGGGCACATAGGTGTCTACTTCGTGGTGTGCATGGCTCTGCTGGTGATAAGCTTGGCCGAGACCATCCTCATTGTGCGGCTGGTGCACAAGCAAGACCTGCAGCAGCCTGTGCCTGCCTGGCTGCAGCACTTAGTTCTGGAAAGGATCACCTGGCTACTTTGCCTAAGGGAGCAGTCAGCCTCCTGTAGGCCCCCAGCCACCACCCAGGCCACCAAGACCAACAACTGCTCAGGTGAGAGGGAAGGAGGAGAGGGGCCTTTTCTGGACTGGGTGTAGGAACATGGTAGGGAGTTTCTGGAGGATCCTGGGCAAGGTCTGGGAATTAGGTGCATTCCTGCACCATGCCAGCAAAGATGTCAGTGCAGACTTGTGCTTCACTTTTACACTTCTCATTGGCTCAGGTGTGCATGAAGAGGGTAGGAGGCCTGGAGTCTGAGCATGTCAGAAGCTGAGCAAATGGCCTCTAAGATGGGCCTAGAGGAAAGGTCAGATGGATGCCCTGCAGGTAGTTATTGGCCTCCTTGACTCATATGGTCAAATACTGAAGCTGGTACTTCCTAAACTTTCTCATTCTAAATAGCTCAAAAGCCAGGTCCTCAGAATTTCAATCATCTATGAAGTAGAAAGACACTAAATATGGAGCTCACACCTCCTGAGGACCTGTTGTAGCTGCTGTTTTTTGTTGGTGATGGTCGTGTTTGGTTGGTTGATTTGCTGAGCACTCTGTGCCAAGAATATATGAAGCACTCTGTGCACATTATCCCAAGTAATACTCATGATGACCCAGTAGGATTGAATGAGATAACAGAGGCATGGAAAGGTTAAATAGTTCCTTCTATATCACAGAGCCAGGGTCTAAAAGAAATGTGATTTGAACCCGGGCTCTCTCTGCTCAGCTCCTATTCATCCTTCTTCCTGTGTTCAAGCCTTCTATGTGAGACTTGTAGTGTATCCAACACCATTTCATCATGAGCTGGTGAACTAACCCACCAGCCTAATGCTCAACTTCCCTTGGTTAAGGTAGTTATCTATTAAGATTTTTGCATTTGCTAGTCCAGAAGGACATGGAGTCATGGAGAGGAGGACAGGGACTCCTGCTAGCCACTCCTTTCTTAGGTAATATAATGAAGCAGAGAGAGAGCAGTGGATTGGGAGTCCAGGCACCTGGCCTTAGTGGTCTCACCATTAAATGATGCTCCAGTTGCATTAATCACTTAACTTCTCTGAGCTCGGCATTGTCATAGAAAAGCAGGGATAGTAATCACTCTTACTCTGCCTCTCTCATGGGGATGCTGTGAGGTTCAAATGAAATAATGGATGTCAGATTGCTGGGGAAAACCTACAGGATGTTTTTTTTAAAAATGCACAGGAAGGATAAACACTGATTCCATGAAATTGGTGACTTGAGAAAGGGTTATAGAATGTGTCTGAGGAGGAAGTACAGGAGTCCTCCATCATGTTGGTTTTTAAAAATTAGTTTAAGTTGGATGGTGAGTATGCAGATGTGTAAGTTATTCTCAATACTTTTTATATCTAAAATTGTTCATAGAAAAATTTCCACAGGCTGTAGAAAGATAAGGGACAGTATTTGGACCATCCAACAGTCCTCTCTTCTGCCAATTTTTTGTCCTTCTTCCAGCCATGGGAAACTACTGTAGCCATTTGGGAGGACCCCAGGACTTGGAAAAGACCCTGAGGGGCAGAGGCGGCCCTCTCCCCCCACCACGGGAAGCCTCACTGGCAGTGCGTGGGCTGCTGCAAGAGCTGTCCTCGATCCGACACTACCTGGAGAAGAGGGATGAGATCCGCGAGGTGGCCCGGGACTGGCTTCGGGTGGGCTCTGTGCTGGACAAGCTGCTCTTCCGCATCTACCTGCTGGCAGTGCTGGCCTATAGCATCACCCTGGTCACACTCTGGTCCATCTGGCATTATTCTTGAGGGGGCACAGCCCAGCAGGGTAAGGGGTATAGGGTTGGTTAAGATGGGGACGCAGGATTTCCACTTAGTTCCTTCAGGGCCCAGGGGATGTCAGGGACATTCCCAAGACACAGATGCAGTCCCATACCTCATTTCCAATGCCAGTTCATCTAAGCTATCCTGAACTATGGTCTGAACTCTTTGCCCCCAAATTTAGTGTTTAAGATCCTTACAGCGAACCCCCATCCACAGCTGCCTGTTATGGCTTTACATCCTGCTATCTTAGACTGGGAGAGACCCACGCATTCCATAACTTCACTCTCCTTATCTAGGCCTCAAGTCTCAGTTTCCCTTTGGCACTTCCCTAGAATTCCGCTTATTTCCACCAACCTTGTTTTTAGATTGAAAGCAAAATTAACTCTCTGCTACTGGGGCCTGATGATTCTGCATATGTTTATCCTGCCCTAATGTCTCCTTCTTCACTGTCACCTGTGGTCCACTTCCCTAATATTCATGCTCCAGCAGCTAGTGGGGGGGGGCAATAAAATGCTATAAACCCTTAAACTCTCTTCTTGATCATTGTCAACAGCTTTGGGGAAAGATTGGATGAATGGAAGAAGAGGTTTAAAGTTACTAGTAGGAATGGGGTTCTGGAATTAGTTGTAGTTTAAGTTGTTTGATGCTTTCTGGATGAGGGTCCTGGAGGGTGAAATGGTAGCTACTACGAATATGAAACAATAGGGGGTGGGACTGATGGTGTGAAGGTCAGGACTGTGAACACTTAGCAATGGAGAGGGAAGAAGGGAAGATCAGTTTTGTGGCTGTGAGATGCTGAAAGGGACCATACGTTCTTCTTAGTAATTTGGTCCATGGTCTCTCAGTGAAGCTGGGAGCAAGCTCTCTCAGAAAGAGGATCCTGCAATGGCGACAAGATCTTCAGCACCATGGTCAGCACCAATTGGTTTTTGTACTTAGAAAACAGTAAGAAAAACAAGGCCTGGGTTTACCTATCTCCATAGGGAACTCTCAGCAGCCTCCCCTGGCACGTCCACCAGAACGCAGGACCATGAGGGAAGCAGAGTTAGTAACAATGGTCTTTGGTCTGACTCCTCATATCCTGGCCCCCTCTTCCAGACATCAGGGTTTAAAACATGCCAAGAAGCACCCTATCTCCATAACTCCATCCACCTAACAAGCTTTTAGAGAAGAGGAATGCTAGACTCTACCAACAGTGACCTGTCTTAGTGTATGCAGTGTATGGAGAATACTTTCTCTGCCTCTCCCTGGGCACAGAAATACCGTAAATTTACCCTCTCGTCTGTCCTGAGCTTTCTGTCAGAGAAACTATAATGGAGAGGAGTTAAAAGGAAAGGACCCAAAAGAAATACCTGGGATGAATTCTGACATTTCCACTGTCTTCCCCATTGTTCCAGGCCAGCCAATTATAAAAGGCTCAGTGTGGGACACCTGAAGTAATACATCCCCCTAACCCCAAACTTTGCAAATAGGTGATGAATCATACTAGAGGCTAAGTAGAGGGCATAACTGTGGACTTCTGAGTTCTCCATGTCTAAAACAGCCTAGAGGCTGAGGGAGGGGGTTATCTGGTTTAGCTTCTTCTCACCCCAGCCCCCAGCATTCAGAAAGAACTCATTAAATACTGACTGGCGATTTGATCCTAAGATGAACTGGCAATGTGGGGGGTCTCATCTGCCACCCTCACCCAACATTTCTGCTTTTGAGATTACTCAGAGTTTAGATTTATTTTTGTTTTGTTGATGGGTAGAACTCGGGGTCTTTCAGCATAGAGCAGGAGATCGTGGCACTGGGAACTGGCCCTTACTCAACACTGTTACCTCTGACTGAGCAAGACTGGGCTACTGATGGGGACTGTTCATCTTTCCCCACTCAGGATGGCTCTGAAGCCCATACGGTGAAGCCTGGTCTTAGAATCAAAAGCTGCCCCACTCTACCAGGACTTGCTTGGGCCAGTTATGCTGTTTGGTGATCCTCATGTCTCAGGCCACAGGGATAGAGAGGCGGACAGTCTGGTACTGTCAATGCACCACTGGCCAGTAAGTGTGTGACTATTGACAAAGTGTCCAACCAGAGAGCTAGTGAGACACTAATCAACCTATCGATTCTCCATCTCCCCCTCCTCACCCTTCACCCATAATCAATGGGGCGACAGAGCCCAGCATGGAGGCAACCAATTAACCACTTGGAGAACGAGCTGCCTCCTGTAACATCTTCTGCTCCACTAGCCACATCCAATCAACTCATCGATCTGGCATCTGGGCAGTGCTGCCCAAGGATGGGAAACTGAGGCCCAGGGCCAGAACGAGCCCCCGTGAACTGATTCCTGCCCATCAATACGGATCTTGATCTTCTCCCAAGGAGACCTTGGCTTTGTTAGCTGAATGAAACACTAGGAATTTCCCTTCTGCTTGGTGTACCTCCTGAAACCTGCTTCCTCCCGCCTCGGATCACTTGGGCTAGTTGCCTCTCATTCTGTCCTAAGTGGAGAGAAAACCTGAAGCACTCACATCTTTATAAGTGCAGTTCTCTCTCATCTCCACTTCTCTGTGCAGCTCTATTCACTTCCAAAATACTCCGGTTTTCATCTCCTTTTCTCATCCACCCTGTTTTCCAAAACCCTCATGTATACTAAAAAGATTCCCCCAGAGGCCAGTGTGTCCAGCAGGAACCCTCCAGCCCTTTGCGAGCTCCTGCCTGGTGCTGCTGACAGCCTTGGAGCCTGCTGCCACCACCTAGGGAGCAGGAAGGTAGCCTTGCTCCCCAAAGCTCACAACCTAGGCCCAAGGGTCTCAAGGGTCCCCTCCCAGGAGTGGGCACTGCAAGGACGTTCAGGAGAGACCAGCAGCATGGCTGAGCTAGGGCAGGGGGAGGGTGGATAGGGGCTTATTAGGGAAGATTTCTTGGAGAGAACATGGAGGAGAAAAAGTTTCCTGGCTGGGTGAAGGAGGTGGAAATGTGGTTCAGCATTCAGAAGCCAGATTCTCCTCCTTCCCCCACCGCCCCCCAGCCTCTGAATCAATACATTTTGAATCTAATCTAATAACAGAGATTTAACGAGGGGATAATGCGTGTGGAGCCGCCAGGCGCTTTGTCTCCTCTTTCATGAGGCAGCTGGGGCCCATTATCCGGGGACAATGCCCCATGCTAATCGCTCCCTCTCTCCCCCTCCTGAGTGCTTGGGGAGGGGTGGTGGGCAAGAGAGAGCAGCTCCTCCCCTGATTGGAGGGGAGTGGAGGGGTGGAAGGGAGGGGGGAGGACGAAGTCGAGAAGGGTCTAGTCCATGCCCTGACTTGACACCACCTCGTTGGCTGGGCCACACTGCGCACCCTGACCAGTAAGAGGTCGAGGGAGCCCGACCAATGCACACAAACAGCAGATGGTTAGTGATCAGCTGCAGTGTTGGGGGTTTTAGTGTTGGGAGTTGTTTTGTTGGTGGTGGCCGCCCCCCGCCCCCCCCCAACTTGGTCCTCTATAATTTAAGCTATCCCATTGAGGCCTCTGATTGGCCAGTCCTGACTGTCATGGTTAGAGAATTAAACCCTGGTTTTAGGGGACCAAGAACATCTCTCCCTGAAATAGAAGCCCTTTCCACATCCTCTCTCTCTCTTCTATCTGGAGGAGTGGAGGTTAGACTATGGAACTTTCTGGTAATGCCATTCCAGACACAAACCAGATTGGGAACCTGAAAGGGAAGGATGGAATCTCGTTCCCTAGAAGCCTTTGAAGAGAGATCTTTATTTCTCTTGCTTGGGAAGGGCAGACCAGAGAGAAGAGGAAGTCTGCCTGGGACTTCTATCAGAGCTCTGAGGGAGGAGCCCAGAGCTAGGGCGCCTGAGGCCTGCCCACTCCCATTCCTTTCTGAAACATACATATTGGGGACAATATAGGAGTATAGGAGTGCGGTGTTGAGCGAGAGACCCCAAGTGTGAACTTGGCCCATTACAGGTCAGCTGTCAGCCTCTGACTGGCATGTTTCCTCCTGTGCTTCAACTTCTCATCTGTAGAAATGGGATCATGCCAGTGCTTGACTCACAGGTGTGTGTTGGGCGGGGGGCACCTTGCTCTAGTTAGAGAGAAGCCTGGGGAGATCACAGGTGGGGTACAGTCTAGTGACCTGTGAGTCCTTCCTGAACCCTCATATCATGTTATGAGTGTGTGAGAACTGCTCCTAGGAGACAGAGGACCAGAGGTCGTTCTCCTTCTCCCCATTTTAGGGATTAAGGCTCCTGTCCCCACCAGGCTGAATTCAGACTTCTGTGTCCTGTACCTTGGTGCTCCTTTCTCTCCCATTGCTACCTGTCTCCCTCATCGCTGCACATTCAGAACTGCTTTGCACAGAGTTCCTTGTAAAGCCTCAGTTTTGAGTCCCTGCTCTGGGGAAAATGTGTGAGATACCGGAACGCTTTGAGGGCCCATCCTGATTCTGTTTGTCTGTCCTACACAGTGCCACCCAGTGTGTCCCTGGGTCTGCAAAGAGAACTTGGCAGAAAGACACATCATGAATATAACAGTCAGGATCATAGGATCCCAGGAATTTGCTTGCATGTGCCTGGGAGAACTCCTGACTCAATACTCATAAAAGAGTATCCGTGCTAAAGCCCTCCAGCAAAATGTCAATCTTCCACCAAGGGCAGCCACGGTTCTGCCTTCTAGATTATGTCCACAAGGTGGCAGCAAAGTCCAGAAGTTCTATGGAAGAGCCTGTACCAAACATTTTATTGCCCTCTTCCCTGTTACCCTTCCCAAATAAAGGCCTGCATCCCTCTCCAGCAGCCTCTGGAATCTCTTTCCTTTAAGACAGACTTTTCCTTTGGGCCAGCACTAAGAATGGTGTTCCAGATCGATTTGTATCCTTCTCTTAAGCTCTGGCAAAGGTGGCCCTGCTACCTCCTCCCTGTCACATGCCCATGTCCACGCTGATCTCTGGCACCTGAGCCTGCTGCATACATGCTCAGACCTGGACAGCACAGTAGCCACACACTGGTTGTTCTAGCTTTTCCCCTTTCTGTTCGTGTGATGAAGATACTGCTGATGATGGTGACGAAGGCTGTTTAACCCCATGCTCACATGTGTAACAGGCCCATGGGGGGTTCTGTCTGTCTCTTCTGACCATGTTTCTAAGGCCCTGAGAGGCTTCTTTGTGTTCCTAGGAAAAGCAAGGTCAGAGGGAGGTGCTGAGAGTAGGAGCAGGGGAGGGTGGGGTCAGTGGTTAGAGAGGAAAGGCAGGTGTCTGGGAGAACCGCAATCATGGGGGCTCAGGGCAAGGACTGAAGGGATGGTGCTGGTCCTAGATAGTTTTAATGACATGATTTCTTTACCCATCTGGGATAATGTCTGTAAACTTGCTGCTGTCAATGTGCCAGCTGTGGATTTCCTACTCCAGCTACAACAAATCACCAACATAAAACACAAGTTTGCTATGGTATAGTTCTGGAGGTCAGAAGTCCGCAAGGGACAAGCAAGACTGTGCTCTTTCAGGAAGCTCTAGGAGAGAGTCCATCTCTCTGTCTTTTGCAGATTCTAGA